AAGAACAGATGCCCATGCCAAGTTAATGGGTGTAACCAGACAACAGGACTGAGCTTACAAAGGAGATTAAAGATTCATTTTTGGATAGTAGTTATACTGGTAAAGATCTATGAAAATGGTCACCACTGAAAGGGCAGGTAAAATGCTCCAAGCTTGACCTTGTATTTCTGGTCTCTATGGGGAGGAAAGTCTACCGAGGAACAGGATGGTAGTGGAGGGATCGTGCCGAATGAAGAAAATGAATGGGTGGTCGGCGGTGAAATACTCCTCTGTCAACTGCAAGATGCGGCGGACGATGGTGATCTCGGTGGCAGCCGCCGCCTCTGTGCCCTCCTCGTTCACCTCCACGAAGGACTTGTGGACCACCTTCGATACAGAGAGGCCTGTGGCTCCTGATAGGCCGGACAGGTCAGCGTTGCTACTGAAGAGCTCCTGCATACCCAGGGAGGCCAGCAGAGTGCTGAGCTCGTAGCTCTCCTCCAGCTTAAACCTGGGCAACTGGACATTGACCTCAAGGAGATCCAGATTCTCGGGTCTGGTCCACTCACGCAGCTTTTCCAAAGTCAGCTGTTGCTCAATCTGGATTCGGAATGGGCAAAAAGAAGAGCGGAAATCATTTTATAGAAGGAAGTTAATGAAGCATTGTTTGAATGAACGGGCCCATCATGTCAGCTGCTCCCTAGCTTCCTTCATGTTTTGTTCCAACACAGATTCCATCTGGAGGATTTCATTTCTTTCTGACTATTGGTGATAATGAACAGAGCTGCGTTCCCAGCCACCAAGGGCCCATCCACCCAGGACTTACCAGGCCCCTGCCACACTGGGTCACGGGTCATCCTGGCTAAAATTGCCCTAATTGGTCGAGTGATGCAAGAGGATATTTTAAAGCTTTCTTCCATTTATTTCATTCTGTTTATTCTGAACCCCAGTGATCACTGTGTTTATCTGGGAACCTCACACAGCTGAAGTTATCTCTGATAGATGTAGCTCATTGGTAAACAGAAATGGACCTAGTTCCTCATCTAAAATGGGATAACAGTAGCACATACCTGGAGCACTGTAAGTGCTGAATGAGTCACCCTATACAAGTGCTGTGTAACGTCAGCTACTGTCATTACTATTATTACTGCTACTGCACTGGAACACACACACATTCCACTTTTCTACTGATGCTGGTAATTCCAGACGTTCTTTCTGATAATCAGGAACGGACAAATATGGAGATACAATTGAAAGAAGGAACACAGTGGTTTTCACTTATGCTCTAGGGCTGCAAATGGCTAATATTAAACGCCATCCAATAGCAAGTTTGGTCTGGGATGGGGGAGGGGAAAAGCACACAACAGGCCAGAGACACTGAAGAAAAACCTCACTCTTCACAGTTTTGCCTCTTCCTGGCCCTGGCAAGAGATACCATTGCCTTTAAATTACAATAAGAGAAACCGCAGACAAAGTTCAGGTTAGGCAGTGGGCTTATCTCTCAGACTAACAGGTCACATGGATCTTTTCCTGTCATGTAGCAATTGGACATTTAATGCACAATCTACAAGAACTGGGGTGAGAATGACCAGATTTTACAGCACATGGCGAAACGATAATGGTCGAGGGTTTTTAATTTTAAAAAATTGTTTTAATGAAACAGTCCCCATTTATGGCACGTTCCTCTAAAGCTCATCTAAGGGAGTCTCCACGAGCTGCCACTGGCCAGCATTACACTCGGTGTGTACCTTTGATGTTCCCGCCACGTTGTGCACCGATAGTAGCTGAACATTTAAATGTGGGGCTTCCATAAAAAGGAACGAAACTGAGTTATCTGTAATGAGGTGGATGGACCTAGAGTCCGTCATACAGAGTGAGGTGAGTCAGAGGGAGAAACACAAATACCGTATGCTAAGGCATATGTATGGAATCTAAAAAAGCGGTACTGATGAACCTAGGGGCAGGGCAGGAATAAAGACGCAGACCTACTAGAGAAGGGACTTGAGGACTCGGGGAGGGGGAAGGGTAAGCTGGGATGAAGTGAGAGAGTGGCATTTGGCGGCGTGCCATATACGCTACCAAAGGTAAACTACATAGCTAGTGGGAAGCAGCCGCACAGCACAGGGAGATCAGCTGGGTGCTTTGTGACCACGTAGAGGGGTGGGATAGGGAGGGCTGGAGGGAGACGCAAGAGGGAGGGGATATGGGGATATGTGTATACGAACAGCTGGTTCACTTTGTTATACAGCAGCAACTAACACAGCACTGTAAAGCAATTATACTCCCATCAAGATGTTAAAAAACGTACAATAAAAAAAAAAATAAAATTATATGCACAGGAAAAAAAAAGTTCTCATCACAAGAAAAAATATTATAACTGTGTGGTGATGGATGTTAACTAGACTTATTATGGTAACCCTTTCACATTATATGCAGTTATAGAATTATTATGTTGTCCTCCTGAAGCTAACATAATGTTACATGTCATTATACCTCAATAATAAGTCTCTATAAACATAAATAAATAAATGTGGAGCTTCGCACTGGTACATGCGGATGGGCTACTTTACAAAGGAGTGACAGGAAAGTGGGAAGGAACACCAGGTCACCTCACTAAACAAAGAACAAGCGCCTATGCCCAACACACACAAACACACACACACACACACACACACACGCACACACACACACACACAGGGTCCGCGCATCACTCGGGGAGGTGGGGAGGCGCACCTTCCTCAGCCCCGTGGACTCGTCCTGGATGTCATCCGGCAGCAGGATGACCATGCTGAGGTCCTCACACTGGTAGGGCAGTTCCAGCACCTGGCACTTAAGGTCCTTGATGTGGCCAAGCCGAAACTTCTTCTTCTGATACATCATTTTCACTAGTTTTGTGTCTTTCTAAACAATTAAAACACAGATCACTAACATTGTTGTCAGCGTGGATTTAGAGCGCACAGTCATCTAGACGGTCACCTGCCCTCACCTTATTCAGTCTGAAAGCTGCATCTTTTGTGGCCTCCATCATGAATTTCTCCTGCCAGTTTCCTTTGAAATAGATGGCATTCACCAGCACCAGCTTAGTCATGCTATCAACCACACCTGAGGCCAACAGCTCTGGAATTTTCCCTAAAAAGACAAAGTTAGCTTTTTAAAAATCCACCTATCAGAATTCCACATTTGAACTGACCTTTGATTAGCAATGAAATGCCACTCAAATGCTTCCTTCTATTTAATTTCCTTTAACATGGTACTAAGTTAGCCAAGCCCCCTGGGGTGCTTCTACTTTAAATAGACCAACTCGAGGGGCAGATCAGGGGGACACAATCTGCCCCCAAAGGGCCGATGCTTCAAAACAAGTCAATTGTTTAAAGGCTAAAACCAGGAAAACTCTTCCTTTCTGGAACGTGGGATAAGTAGTGGCCTCATTTTGTGACTGGCCATTCTTTTTCAGGAAAAGAACAATTTCTTAACCAAAATGTTTTGTCACTAATAAATAACTCCCTTCTTCAAATCTTCCAAGTTAGATGCCTAACTGTCACAGGAAAGCTTTTAACAAATATCCAAAAGGTAGGACAGTTCCTCCCCTGAAACACAGGCCCCACTCATGATGTGGCACGGCCGTGACAGTCCCTGATGGAAGGAACACAGGTGTCCTGTGGGTGCCTCAACCGTTCCGTGACTACGACAGAAACACAAACCGGAAAAACAGCCTGAGGAGACTCAGCCCCACCTCCCGACCCTGGTTTCTTAGACAAGATGTTCGCAAAAAGTATTTATGACCACAGCGGCTTGTAAATATTGATTCACAAGAGTTTCATCTCTTTTAGTCTACGTTCAATGTTACTTTTCATTTTAAAATGTAGTTTGGGGAACTTATGGGTAGAAAACATTTAGCATGTTCAGTTAAATCATCTTTACATTTCCACTTTGAGGAATTCCTACATTTGAAAGCTGTCTGGGGACATCCCCCCGTGGCGCAGTGGTTAAAATCCGCCTGCCAATGCAGGGGACTAAGGGTTCGAGCCCTGGTCCGGAAAGATCCCACATGCCACGGAGCAACTAAGCCCGTGCGCCACAACTACTGAGCCCGCGCGCCGTGAGCCCGTGCTCTGCAACAAGAGAAGCCACCGCAATGAGAAGCCCACGCACCGCAACGAAGAGTAGCCCCCGCTCACCTCAACTAGAGAAAGCCTGCACGCAGCAACGAAGGCCCAACGCAGCCAAAAATAAATATATAAAGTAAACAAATTTATTTAAAAAGGAAGGAAGGAAGGAAGGAAAGAAGAAAGGAAGGAAGGAAGGAAGGAAGGAAGGAAGGAAGGAAGGAAGGAAGGAAGGAAGGAAGGGAGGGAGGAAGGAAAGAGAGAGAGAAAGAGAGAAAGAAAGAAAGAAGGCAAGCTGTCTGGCCCTGGGCAGTGCAAGGTGGACCCCAGGGTCAGGCGGAGGGGCTAGGGAAGGGGAGAGGGAGTCACCTGCAAGGGGCAGGCAGGGGGAGGAAAGGAAGCATCAGTGTGTATGACCAGGGCTGCCCTCGCTCACCTTCCGTCTGCCCTTTGACCCACTCATTTATGGTCTTCCTTGCGTCTTCGGTGGCCTGCAGAAAATCCACACTGGCCAGTTCAGCACCGTACATTCTCTGAGTTGAAGCTAAGAACTCCTGTTTAAGGGGAAAAAAAAGGAAATGTGAGTAACTCCTACTCCATACAGAAATGGTTTTGTAAAATCCTTAAAAGCAACAGAAATTGTCCCAAAAGGCATATTTCATTGTAACAAAAAAAATTCTAACCCTTCTACTTTTTTTACTATAGTGAAAAACACACAGCATTCCATTGACGACCTTAAGCACTTTTAAGTTTACAGTTCAGTAGTTTCAGTTTTATATAAAATTTACCAATTCCTGGGGACTTCCCTGGCGCTCCCGTGGTTAAGACTCTGTGCTTCCACTGCAGGGGGCAGGGGTTCAATCCCTGGTCAGGGAACTAAGATCCCACATGCCACGCGGCACAGCCCAAATAAAATAAAACAAAATTTATCAATTCTTTTCTACCCCTTGACTAACATTTTCATAAACAAGCAAATACTGATTGTACTTGAAAGTGAATTATGGAATTCACTCTTGCTTTAGTAAAACAGCCAGGGTCAATCTTTTCACTGTGGAGACTAGAAAATGAAATCACATCCATTTCCGGGAAAACTGTCTGTCGTGTTTTCATTCTGGATGATTTTGCTGAATGTTTATAAAACTTAAAGCTGACTTCTGTGACTTGATTGTGCTGGAGAAGAGTCTGCATTGTCTAGTGAGTTTTGGAACATGAAGAGCAAAGTACTTACAGGGAGGAAATCAAAGCTTTTCTCTCCATATAACCTGTTAGCAAGTTTCAGAATGTAGGAAGCTCCATGCTTGTTGATATCAGCATTCAAACTCCGAAATCCCGAATGAATCTCCTCAACCTCTTTGAAATAGAGAGCCTAAAAGAAAGAAAACATTATTTCTATAACCATTTCTTTTGAAATTATAAGCTGGTTCCTTGGCATTTGCTTCCATCAAATCAAATTAATATTACTAATTATTGATGATCCCCAGCCATCATCATTTTCCATTTTTCATTGGAGAACAAGTAATAGAAACTCCAAAATGTATAGCTTGGTGAAACATAATAAGGACATTGGAAACTGTTTTCCCATCACTTTTTTGTTATAATTAGAGTTCCACAAATAGGAGTGGTTAACAAGCTAAATATTTACACAAGTCTGCTTTTTTCCCCAAAAATCGGAAGTGGTAAGTTCATATGTATATTCTATACAAATATAATTTTACTGAAAGTTCTCAGAAATAAACAGTAAAGATAAGAAGCATCAGCTATGTGAGAACACAGAGATGGTACAGATTGAGAGGTTTTTATTTTTTTTCCTTGCAGTACTGGCATCAGTAACTCACTTACTTAAAAATAATTTCCTTAAACTTAACATGAGGCAAAGTTGAATTCCCATACATCAGTTACATCTAGAGTCCCTTTCTGGTTTTATGAGGCCTGAGCTGGTTCCTTGCTTTTAAGGCACAAGGAAGAACCGCCACCCTGTACAAAGGCCAGTTACTCACTGAGATATGGAATGTGCGTGGGGGTGCTGTGACGGATCTCTTTACTGGAAACGGGGGTAAAACCTTAAGACTGTTCTTTACTGAGCTTATAAAGTTCCTGGAAAGCCTCAAAACACAAGCTCAGATTACCTTGCAGGGGATGACTCACAATGACTAGTACCGGGGTTTTTTTTTAAAGTGGATTTTTAAAAGCTTTCAAACGCTTTTGTATCTGCAGTGATGAAAAAGGTTGGTGTTTCCTAAAGTACAGAAATAGAAGCTTTGCAGCTGGAACAGGCCCATAAACGTGAATCCGGGCTGGACCTTCCCTGGCTCTAAGTGCAGCGTAATCTGTGACCCGTGTGTTAGAAAGACCTTCACTTTCACCCCTCTTTTCAAGGAAAGCCAGAGTTCCCCACTCAGCATAAAGCGCGCCCCGCACACAGGTGCCCTCCACACCCACCAAGGACAGGCAGGACCCTCAGCATCCCCGCCCCCTCTCCCTGCAGGGCCCTACTGCTCACTCGGGAACGGGGGTCACAGCCCACCAGGGCACACCTGGTGCCAGGCCCAGGGGTAGGAACACGGACTCACAGGCTCTCGTGTCCCCTTGACTTCTCGACTAGGGGTCATTATGCTCAAAAGAATCAAGACACAGCCGACATTATGTGAGTAGCTGAGCATCACAGGCAAAGCGGAAACTGGACAGTCCTGGGCCAGGGAGGACTTGGATTACAGGAAAGCCTTGCAGACTCCTTGCTGGAACGGAAGCAGCGCACGGCAGGGGGTTGTCGGCTTTCTTCCTGCTCCGTCCTCAGTCCCACAAAAAACAGAGCCTGGCACATCGCAGGTGCTCCGTAAAGACTGGGTCATGAATGACAGCCTGCATCCCAGTGGATTTTTCCTGGGGCTTTTTCTGAAAGTCTGACTTCATGAAGTATAATGTATAATATAACACACAATGCTGAACACCGAAATACAGTTTTCTACAAACGCGCTGCAAGAGCTCAAAGGCACAACTTTCTGGTACGGTCTGTGTGGTAGGCACCAGCTGGGAGAGCTAGTTTCTGCTCACCTTGGACATCTGTGCTGCGGTATTGCCTCTGGTCCCCAGAAAGACCATGGCCAGCGCTGATGAAATGCTGAAGGGGGAGATGAAGATGTTGCCGGCAGGATCGCTCTTGTTCAGGGCGCAGAACAGGTCCAAGGCGAAACGGGTGTTTGCCGCGCTCAACTGCTCCATGGTGAGGCTGCAACACAGAGCAGAGCCCTGAGCTGCCCCCTGCCACACCAGCCACTCAGCAACGCCACTTCCCCATCTCCTCCTCAACTCACGCCAGCCACCCTGAAATACCCTGCAACGAACTTGTACTTTCTCTCTCCCTCTCTGTCTCTCTCTGTCTCTCTCTCAAGCGGAAAGCAAGAACACTCCATGTGCACAACTGTGGGAGCTTGGGGCGACTGGCCAAGGATTCAGCAGTGACATGGGATCAGGACTCCTTGTCCTAAAGGGCCCTGGCCGTGCAGACAGGTGCATCTGGGCCCTTCCCTACCACACGTGGGAGGGCACACTTCCCACCCTCCGTTCAAGTCTCTGATTCATTTGAGCCATGAATCCACTGCCCACTTTTACCTGAAAAAGAATGTTTCTATTAGAAAATCATAGCTATCTGCTACTCATTAAAGCAAATTCCCGCAAAAGAGACAGAAGTATCATCGTTTTTGAGATTCCCTTGCTGGTGTTTAGAGAGGTCCCCAGTCTCACAGCTGGTGAAGGATCTGAGAGTGGGAAGCCAACACAGGCCCCGGGGTCAGGTAGGGCAGCCCGACAAGGAGAAGGTGACAGGTATCCTCTGTCACTCCCGCGGGCACGGAGGGGCTGCAGGTGAAGCACCTGGCCTTGCGCTCAGCTCAGCCAAGCACTCTCCCCACCTGACCTCGACTCTCAGCCCACATACAATCGAGGAAGAGGAACAGTCGTGCTGGCTGCCCAGCGTGTAAGTCCTAAGTTGAATTATTACTGTTGTTGCTGATAAATAATCTCTAGGATCGCACTGGCCTCCTTTCCCTGCCTCCAGCCACAGAAAGGAGAAGCCGCTCCGCCGGGGCTGCCTGGAAACCGTCACAGAGAGAGAAACATTCTGGACTCCGGCTTCGGCTTCCGCTTCCGCCTTCAGGCCCCAGGGAGCGACCTCTGTCTGCCGCAGGCCGCCCGGTTTGGCCTCTCGGGACGCGGAGCCGGGGACCCCGGGTGGGGCGCAGGGCAGGTGGCGGTAACCACCGAACTCGGGGACCCCGCGGGGCGCACGACGGAGCGGGGTGACCACCGGACGCGGGGACCCCGAGGGGTGCTCGCGGATTGGAGCCTCTCCCGCCCGGCCCAGATCCCTGCCCGGCCTTACCCGATGCTGGGCTGTCTGGGCGAGGTGCGTGATCTGCGGAGAGCGCAGAGCGCGGCCCTTATAGGCAAAAGGGAGTGTCCCCGGAAGGCGGGGCGGCCCTGCCCCAGGATGATGCACTGCCTAGGAGTTCGGGCTGCGGCTGGGCGGGGCACAGGGCGGGCCAGCGGGGCTCCATGCAGCGCGCTCCCGGGGCCTCAGCACCTCTCTGAGTTCCAGGCAAACTCAGCTCTCCATAAAGGACCTGATGGGCTATTTCCTACTAAGGTGTGAATGACTGAGATGACAAGGTGCCACCTCCTAGAGGGCAAACCAGCCTCTTTGGAATCTTATCCAAACACTCCAAAACTCGGGTTACTGGGGGCTGGGGGTGTGTGTGTGAGGAGGGGCCTCTAGGGTGAGATAAAACAGAATCAGTTCCAAACAGCATCCTTGATGTCTCTGTCCCTCAGGAAGCCATGAGTCCAGCCCCAAGACTCCCCTGGCAAGTGTTGAGCCCAGCAGGCTGGGTCAACTCACATACCCGAGGCACACCGTGAGAACGCCCATCCGTGCGAATAAAGTATCTCTCACCCATTATACTAAAATGTAAACTGACCAGTTTTTCCCCTATAGGTAATGTTCAAGTAGAATGACTATCGTTGAAGAAGAAAAGCAGTAGCTGTTTCTGTGAGGTCTTTTCTTCCCCTCTTTCAATGCCTGCGTATGTAATTTCACCAAAATTGATAGTACTTGAGGGTATGTAATAATTCTGCATTCTTGAAACTTCTCCCGTGCTTTCCTGCAAATCTCAACATGAAAAGGGGACAAAGGAAAAATCCTATTTTTAAATTAGTATGGATAATACAGTGTAAATGGGTTTGTAGATCTTTTTGACTCTGAGAATTTGTTTATAAGGGCCAGAGAAGACCCAGTAATGAGAGCTAAAAATACTCTCTATAGATTTTTTAAACTATATCTTAATAACTAAGATTGTAGAGTGCTTTACAGCTGATTGGAATAAAGAAACCAACATTTATTGAAAGCCAGTCATAGTTAAGTTGAGTGGTTTGATAAAACCGCTAACGCCTCCACCATGTCTCAGAGAGCTAGAGACCCCTCATCAGCTTCTAGCAAGAGGTCTGTGTGAGGAAGCCGAGAGAAAGAGGCTGCGCTGTAAAATTAAAATCCCAGACACGTAAACGAAGGAAACACGGGTTCTGAATTTTCTTTTCTTCTCCTGACATTTTGTATTTGTACTCACCTGGAGTTAGTAACCTGAGTCAAATATGAAATGAAACCACTTCCTAAGTCAATACATGTACTGTATAAGGTTCGGGCAGAAGGGACTTTATACACCAGTCTTCCATCAATCCGCGTGCCCTGCACGGCCGAGGCAGAGTAACCACCCTGTGTGCGCTCTTGCGGCTTCAGAGTGCAAACGGCCCCTGACCAAGGTCACACGGAGATTCTCGGAAAGGCAGGATGGCACGGCCCGTGTGGGCGATGTTGGGCGTATCTGCTCAGCTCGAAGGTGTGGTACCCTGGCTAGATCAGCGATTTCGTCCCCTGGGACAAACCCAACGGAATGAATGCACGTGAGGGCGGGCGCCCAGAGACATGCGCGAGCATGTTCATCGCAGCGGGATTTGAGTCAGGTCCAAGCAGAAGAATGGAGAAGTGATACAGCAGAACAGCGCACAGCAGCAGAAATGAACAAGCCGCGGCAACGCACAGCAACTTGGCTGCATCTCCAAGCGCACCGTGAAAGGAAAACGCGCACGCAGCGGTGTGAGCTGTGTGCTTCTGGTTACACAGAGTTCAGAAGCGCAGAACCAGCCCGTGGGGTTAGAGGTCAGGAGAGAAGGGGACCCTTGGGAGGAAGGCGGATTGCGCTGACTACGTTGTCCTTGATGCGTGGCCTCTGGGACCTTGATTCTGGAGAGACTGCGGGCCCAGGGCCGGCGGGTCCCCAGAGATGGGGAACGACTCCGCTGCAAGCGCACCTTGATACACAAACCAAGCAGCTCAGTGCCCTCACTCTCAATTCTCCCCTTCATCAAAGTCCCGCCGGCCCTAACCCACCCCAGCAGCAGGCAGCCCGAGCCCACCAAAATGACCCAAACTATCCAGTCCAGCCCCAAGCTTACCTAGCGCACCTACCGTGCCTTGCCCGTCCCTTCCTGCAAGAGCCCAAATACAGGCCCCAGTAAAGGCCCCACCACCTCTGCCCTCTCCTCCTCTGCTTGCTGGCCCACCTGGGTGCTTCCCAGGTCCCACGCAATGTGGCGTGTCATCGTGTGCCTCCTGTCGCTGGAGATCTGTGCCTATCAACCTCTTTCATGACACTCACGTCCATGTCAGCTGCCTTGGGAGGCCGGATTAGAGCAAATCCCCACTTCATTTTTAACACAAGCGTTGTGAGTGGGAGTGGCTTGGGCAGAGGAGGGCTTCTGGGATGCTGCCCACCTGCCATGCCTTGACGGGTGGTTACGCAGGGGTATGGATTTGGGGATAATGCACTGAGTTGTACGCATAACTTCTGTGCTTTGCTGCATGCATGCTAAACTTTAACAGAAATCAGTACAAAGTAGCAAGAAAACACACTGAACATCGGTAATCATTTCCCGTCTTTCCCCTCCCACCCCTACCCTCCGACCAGGATTAGTCAGCTTGAAGCTGGTCGGGGTCCTCTGCCACCCAGCATCTCCACTCCCCTAACTGTGCTGGGTGTGCCCGAGGGACTCCAAGGACCTAGTGAGCCCCTGCCCTTCCTGTTCTCCTACACCCAGCCACACTCAAATCCCCAAGTCCAGGTAAGAAGCGTCCTGTCTACTCTCTCATGTGGGGACACGTCAGTCCTTGGTTCAAGGCGCCAAATGACAAAGGTGGTGCCGTATGAATTTTTCAAAGATCCACAGCTATAGGTTCGTAAAATCCATGGGAAGGAGAAAATGCCAGACAGGCACCAAGAGATGTTTGAGAACTAATCGTCCTTCTGCTACTGACCTCAAGGTTAATTGTATTGTGGTTAGGGAACATGATCTCTATATTACTTCAATGGTGAGAAGTGTTTTGACACTTGCTTAATGGCCCAGTATATGGTCAATTTGCGTACATACCCCTTGTATTCAGATACATCCTAAATCCATTACGGGCACTGTTGTCTATATGACCATTGGCATGAGTGCACTGATCACTTTATCCAACTCTGTACTTAGATTCACTACTCATGTTTAGCAAGATAATGACTAAATACCAGTATTTCTAGCAACAAACAGAAAATGAAATTAAAAGAAAAATACCACCTAAAATAGCATCAAAAAAATCAAGTACCTGGAAATATAGCTAATAAAATATATGCAAAACCTCTATACAAAAAGAAAATTAACATTATTAACAGAAATGTTTAAAAATCTAACAGAATGAATATATCACATTCATTGAGTGGAACTCAATATTGCAATGATAGTCGTTTTTCTCTGACTGATTTTTTAAATCAATCCCAATCCCAATAAACATTCCAAAGAAAGGATGTGCGTTTGTGCGTGTGTATGCACTTGCGTGTGTGTGAAGCTAGGCAGGCTGAAACAGATCTTTGCAGGTACTGACATTTGACGTATGACAGGTGACAAGGCAACAGTGGGGAGATGATAGAATACTTTAAAAACGTAGCAGCAATTGAATATATGCAAAAAAATTAAAGAAAGAAAGATGAGGAGAGAGAGAGAAGGAAGGTGGGAGGGAGGGAGGGAGGGAGGGAGGGAGGGAGGGAAGGAGGGAGGGAGGGAGGGAAGGAGGGAGGGAGGGAGGGAAGAAAGAAAGAAAGAGAAAGAAAGGAAGGAAGGAGGGAGGGAGGGAGGGACGGGGAGGGTGGGAGGGAGGGAGGGGCAAGGAGGGAGGGAGGGAGGGAGGAAGGAAGGAAGAAAGAAAGAGGGAAAGAAAGAAAGGAAGGAAAATATTCCTTACCTCACACTATACCGAAAAATCAATGCCAAGGGTATTTAAGATCTATGAAAGCAATATGAAAAATAAAATGAAATAAGTTTTAGAAGAAAATGTAGGAGAATTTTCCATGAGTTTGGGGTAGGGAAGAAGTTTTTAAAGAAGAAAAAGAAAGCATTTACTATAAAGGGAGTGATTAATAAATCTACTACTTTAAAAACAATAATTTCTCTTTATTACCAAGACAACATTAAGACAGTTAAAAAGACAAGCCACACAACCGAAAGAGAATTGAAAGGCATACAATGGAAAGACGGTTTTCGTGTTTGTGTATAACTTTTACAAAGCACATTAAAAACACATTAAAAAAAACCCAAGCAAACAATTTGAATAAACACTTTAAAAGAGGAAATCGAAATGGCTTATAAAGTATAAAAAGGCGTTAAATACAAACTTACAAACTTAAAACATAATGAGATCTCTTCCACTCACATTGCCAAAAACTTTTAAAATTCTGCAATTCAAAGTGTTGCCAAGAATGTAGATCCACTGGGCTTCTCTCACTCCTGGGGGGATTATAAACTGGGAAAACTACTTTGCAAAATAGTTTGGTGATCATTATTCAAGTTCAGTTATTTAAGAATGTTGACCCAGCACCCTTCTCCTAGAGAAATGTATTCACATTTTACATCCTGACATTTATAGGAATGCTGGAGGTACCTTTCTCGGTGAGCCCCAAAAATCAGCGACAGCAGAATGCGGACATAAATCGTGATATATCCATCCAATGGAATACTATATAGTAACAAACATGGACACATTGTTGCTGCATTCACAACATGGATGAAGCTCCAAAACATAAGTTGAGCAAGAGAAGCCGGATTCAGAAGACGACGTTGCAACATTATTTCATTTATGGAAATCTCAAAATCAGCCTGAAGCAAACTGTACTGCTTAGGATTATAGCAGACGGGTAAAACCACAGAGAAAAGCAAGGAACTGTTCACAAAGTTAGAAGTGCTGTTACCTGTGGGGAGACAAGAGGAAGGGGCTGTGACCAGGGGGAGTCACATGGAGCAGAGGCAGCTTCCTGTGCACGGCAGACTTGCTTTCTTGACCTGGGTCACTTGGTGCATGCTTTATAATTAACTGTTCAATTAACCTTATGATCTGTGCATTATATTTCACAATAAAGCAAAAGAAGT